TTATGCAATAATCGGAATAATTGTCCGCTGTGGTCGAGTTCATATTTTTTATCCCGATCGTTAGTTGATTTATTTGTTTATAACAGTCGATTTAAGTGTGCTGGGTAGTACATTAAAATATAGTTTGTAGTCTTTTTTAATTTAGCGTATGGATTTTGCATTTTAAGTTTATTTTTGATGATATTAATGTATTGTCATTCAAATGTATTTGCAGTCTATTTAATCATTTTTTAGTATTCTGCATTTTTTATTTTGTTTCATGATTTTAGGTTTTTTCGATGGCGAATTTCGTACGGATTTTGTTGAGGTTTGGTGGGTTGGTTGCTATAAGAGGTGTTTACGATGTAATGGCTCGGTAACTTCGGTTAAATGTTAAACCGTTGTAATACAGTAGTATACTATTATGAATACCGCATGATACTACCATTATCATTTTATTATACTATTATGAGATTATTAATGTACTAGAGTTTTTTAACTCGACATACTGGTTTGATTGTGTTATGATGTGTTTTATGTATTTTATCAAAATCCTAGATTGAAATTATGAGATTATTAATGTACTATTTTATTGGTTATGTTGGAATACTTTACGTTGGTGTTGTTCTCAATGTTCTTGTCATTTCAGTGGTATATTGTTTGTAACACAATTTCATATCACCACTATAACCGTAATATACTATCATAGCAGATTAATGTACTATATTGAAATTATTAATATACTATGTGGTTGAATAATACGGGATCCATAGTTGATTAACGAGATCCATAGTCGAATTAGATCAATAAGATAGTCTATTACATGATATAAGGAAAATTACCCTAATTGATTAGTATTTCAAACAAACATATTATTCAGTTTCCATATATATTATTATTTTTTCATATATATTATTATTTACCCTAATCGTTTTCATATAATAAGGAAAATTACCCTAATTGATTAGTATTTCAAACAAACATATTATTCAGTTTCCATATATATTATTATTTTTCCAATAGTCAATTAACTAAACTCATAGTCGAATTAGATACATGGGATAGTCTATTAAAAGATATGAGATAGTCTATTAATTTTAAAACACAAATCCGCCGCCGTCACTTCTCAAATCTAGGGTTTTGATGATTCTTCGGCCCATAGTCGATTAACGAGATCCATAGTAAAATTATACCAGTGGGATAGTCTATTAAATGATATGGGATAGTATATTAATACAGATGTAATTCGACTATGCATCTCGTTAATCAACTATGGGCCGAAGAATTATCAAAACCCTAGATTTGAGTAATCCTAGATTTGAGTAATCCTAGATTTGAGTAATCCTAGATTTGAGTAACCCTAGATTGGAGCAGTGACGGCGACGGCGGCCAACGACGATATCACTTCTGGTGGATGTCCTGCGCATCAATTGCTGCAATATCACTGATTTAGTGCTCGAATTTGGTATGCGATTATAACAGATCTGCAATTACACAAACGTGATAGTCGATTTAGCCAAAACATATCAACAAATCGATGGATGATAGCGATTCAGCGAGTGGCGACGACGTACCTACGGAGGCTTGGTCGGAGTGCAGAAAAATCGCCGATCCACGGCCGTGCAAATTTCTGGTTTTGGGAGGTTTTGCAGTTTTTTTGATAGTGGGTTTGTGGTGATA